AGGCCACCGGTGTAGCCAGAAATGTGCGTGTGTGTTAAATATTGACTATATTGTTTGAGTAGGTTGGCAATTAAGGATATTAATGAGTTGGCTAAAATTGAGGATCAAAGTACACATTTTAACGTAAAAACGGCTTAGACGTGAATATACATGAAAAGTTAGTTGTTAGTTGTGTGCATTTTTATGATATAGTATATGGAATATTATACTTGAACTTTAATGAGCAATTAAAAATTTCTGCCAAACTGCCGCCTCCTGATTGGTTATGAGGTAGTGGTGACGTACGTGCGCAGTAGGACAGAAGATTGTGTGCGAGCTGTGCAGCAACTTGTTTCCTGCCGAGTGAGTGGACTTAGCTGTTGGAGCACCGAGTGTACTTAGGCTGTGAGCGACGCTTTCCGCGACCTTTTTTTTTTTGGGTGTTATCATTCGTGTCTGAAGATTATTTCTTGTACCAACCACTATTACTTTTTGTCCTCTACAAGAATAATATCTTCAATTTGCCTAAACTTAGTGTGGCCATACTGTACAGAATATCTATAACATCTATTCCAAAAATTATTGTTGAGTCCATGAAGTGATTGACGTTTTTTTGTAGAGTAGAGATACAGAGTGATGTGACCATAAACAGAAAGAAAAGCCAACCTAATTTGTGAATAGAGAACAACCCATCTATATAGAAAGGTCGACTTCAAAGGTGCTTAGCCAAGGAACATACAGCACACTTGTTGCAAATTGTAAAGATATAAAGAAAAAGGCTTCCAAAGAAAGCTCACTTCATTTCCTCATGATGTACGAAACTAATGGTCTTCCTGATGTCTTCCAGTTCGTCAAAGTGGGATATGCCGGCTGCAACTTCCCCGCCCACATCTTCCCGTCCATGGTGGGGCGACCTATCATCCGAGCCACAAACAAAATTGGGGACATCGAAGTCAAGGTAATTAGGAGCTGGAGAATGATATTGCCTTGTCCTGCGAGAGTGCAGGTGTAAATATCATTCTCTCTTTTGAATCTAATGATAACCATATTATGGGATGTCTTGTTTTTATAATTTCTGTTGCAGCCGATAGTACTTTTATTTTTAGTTGTTGTAATTTGAATTCTTAAAAACTAAATAAAGAAAGCATTTAGGGCTTTAAGAATTCTTATAAATCTCTGTAACATTTGGTAGGTGAGCATAATGTTAAACAGTTGATTATATTCTTAATTTTAATTCTAGAGCAAAGACAATGTAGAGTAATTCATTTGATGCTCATTTGCCGTCATTTGTTTGTAATTTTTCCAATCTTGTGATTATTAACAGTTTCAGATTGATCCTAGCACCACTATTATTATAGTGATGATAATTCAGAAAGAGATAGTGGTGATAATCTGAAAATATAAATATTTGAAATTGTACATATTTATGTTTTAAGGCCTTCAAATCCTGCAATACAGTATATCGTAGATTTTATGTCTCAAAATTTGTTATATATTCTTTTGATTTTATTTGCTGAAATGAAATAACTTCCAAACTGAATAAACTACTTTGGTTCAGAAAGAGGAGTGCGTAGACTCCAAATAAACATGCAAAAGACTTCAAAGAAAAGTCGAAGTAGAATAACAACTTCCTGAAATTTTGGTATAACAAGTAACAGTACAAAGCACAGACGGGTATGTTTCCAGGAGTCATTGACCTCTTGCTAGTCATGTTGAAGCGTACGGCCTTCACTTTCATCAGGACCAAAATATTATTCATGTGTTTTATTCAGATAGGGAGAGGTTTCAGTTTTGTGATGGATTGATAGATGGAGATTGAGTATTCAAGAGTGTAGTCTTTCTGCTGCTGCTATCATCTCCCCTCCTCTTTTTTTTTTTTTTTTTTTGCTCTCCTTTTATTTCTCCCCCTCCTATCTATTTTCTCCCTCCTTCTCTATCTTTCTCTCTTCTCTTTCTTCTTCTTTCTCATACTCCCTCCATCTTTCTTTGCTCTTTCCCTTCCTTCCTTCCTTCCTTCCTATCTTCCTTCCTTCCTTCCTTCCTTCCTTCCTTCCTTCCTTCCTTCCTTCCTTCCTTCCTTCCTTCCTTCTTCCTTCCTTCCTTCCTTCCTTCCTCCTTCCTTCTTTCCTCCCTCCCTCCCTCCCTCTCTCCCTCCCTCTCCCTCCCTCCCTCCCTCCCTCCCTCCTCCCTCCTCCTCCTCCCTCTCCTCCTTCTTTTTCTCTTCCTTCCTTCCTTCCTTCTTTCCTTCTTTCCATCTTTCGTTTGCTCTCTCCCTCCTTCCCTCCCCCCTTCTTTCCTTTCTTTCTTTCTTCCCTCTTCCTTCCTTCTTTCCTTTCTTTCTTCCTTTCTTCCTTCTTTCCTTTCCTCCCTCCCTCTCGCCCTCCTCTCTCCAGCTCCTCCTCTCTTTAGTTCTAGAATATTTGATTTCTATCAAGTTTGTTGAAACATACCGAGGCTTTGAACTGTATGCCGTAGCTTGATACTAATGAATATTGAGATGATTAATGTTTCAAGATTTTTA